TGATCTCTGGAGGTCCTTTCCAACCCTGACGTTCTGTGATTTATGTGAATGATAGGTCAGAATTTCATCATAATTATGCTTCTGTGCTGTGAAATTGAACTAAAGATTTCATGAAGTCTGTTATAGTTCATGTGTGACAGAAAGTGTTTACTCATTATAGACTAGAAAACTAATTTCATACACTTTTGTATTCTCTAGATTTACCTTATTTGAATGTAGATAGAGGTAAGACAGAAACTGGCAGAGTCCTACTGCCTTCCATCCAGTGGCACGATGGACTACTTCAGGTATGGTTTTGTTTGTCATTAAGAGATTTTTTTATTTAAAACATACAGTGTTTTCTACTACCATAGACAGGGTAAGTCTTTAAAATACAGTACATAATTAATAGTATTCTATGGTCTTTGTGTATTTCACAGTGAGTTGTTTTTTTTTCCAAGGAGTTAAAAAAAAATATATTTTTTAATGTTCGATAGAAAAATATGAGAGAAGTGTGAATTTATCGTTAATGGAACACACTTGGTCATTTTTCAGGAATCACTTACCCATAATGATATTTTTATTTCAACCAGACTGAAGTTTCTACCTTTATTGTGACCCAATCCCTAATTAAACTCAAGACAAAAATATCTTTCAATGAGATTTGGGTCATTTTTTTTTTATTTTTTTTTTTTTTTATGTACCATGATTCCAGTTTCATCTGTTTTAGAACACCTTGTGGTGTTCCACTTACCTAAAATCTTTCCAAGTGTGAGAGACTTGATTGCATTGAATTCTGTGCCTGAAGACAGGATAAACTTCCTTTTTTGATTCTGGTTAACCTGTAGAATGGTTTGGTGGTGAACAAAGTAGAACAATGGGAGACATATTAGTCAAAATTTGCAAAAAAGAAGATAAACTCAAGACAAAAAATAGAAGAAGCTGAGGGAAGCATTTGTTAGCTATAGAAAAAAAGACTAATCAGGAAATAGATGATCAGCTTCCTCAGAACACTTATTATAGCTTAATATTTCTTCAACACCCCTCTTAATAAGTCTTTATTTATCTTACTGGTTTGTCTGATTCCTCCTTTTTCATTTGTAAGATGAAAAAAAAAGTGTAAACCTTTAAAAACAAAACATAGGGGTTTTTTTTCATTTAAAAATATCATTCAACGTTTAGTTAACAAAGGCCAGATATTATACTGTAAATGATCTGAACACAAGGGTACCTCTAGAACCTCTAGAACTATTTGTCTTCAAGCCTTGTACTAACACATAATTAAGCAAACTCAGCTCTAGTCTCAAAATACTAACTTGTAACTCGTAATTGTAAAAAATAAATAAATTAAAAAATTAAGACTTCTTTATCTACTGTTAGCAAATCAAATATTTCTGGTTTATCATCAAATTTCTACAAAAATAACAAACATTTTAATAGTCACATTGCTTTGATGCAGAAAGGACTGGAAAAAATTAGACAAGTTCTCTGAAAGTATTATATAGATGGTAATATATTCATACTGTATACAGTTTGATACATAATTGAAAACAAAAAACAAAATGAAAGACCCAAAACAAATTACACAAGTCATACATAATTCACAAGTTGTATTTTCATAGAAAAAGATAAGGCGGCATTGACCTTTTGAAATAGACAAGACGAACACCAAAGAGATTTTCTAATGTAGACTTTTAGTGTTCATCATTCATCATGAGTCTGCTAACCTTTGCTTTGTTTACTTCAGATAGTAAAACACAGTTTATTTGGCAGTAATTTCCTCTTGCAACTACTTACTTCATTTTGCTTTGGATCTCCTAATTTTTAATTACAGTTTTCTTTTTTTTTTTTTTTTAGTCTAACTGAATTACCTCTACAGAGAGCATATCCTCCTCTCTGTTAATCATCACATGTTGCAGTTGCCCGTCAGCCATGCTTTTGATATTGATGCTGAAGACATCAGGATCTTGATGGCTGTCTAGCTTGTACCTGATCTGTAAACTTCCTGCAGGGATAAATAGATAAAAAAATATAGTAGACTACATACACAACAGGAAGCATAGATCAGTACTTCCCACTTCACAAGTGCATTTGAGAACAAAACAAGTGTTTGATCTGTTTAAGGTGGTAACTATGAGAAACTGACATAAGGGAGAAAAGAAAGAAGGGAACAGAAAAAGAAATAGTAAAGTTAGAAATAGGATGTTGTAACAAAGATAGCCATAAACAGTCCCAAATCTGAATAATGACATAAAATTTGTGGAGAAATTTTAGTAAATAATTTAATAGTTCCGCTAAGAAAGATTTAGTCTGGTAACTCCTATCAGTGTGACTTAACAAATGAAACTCAGTACCTTGCAAGTATTGTCCTTGAATAATGTTTACTGTCCAGACCTGTAAATCTCTGATCAGATGACAATTCAGTAAGATGCAGTTAATAATTTCTAACTCACTTTCAATTTCTTGTTGTTAACTGCTAGCATACAGTTTGTACACATCTAATCACACAGAGGCTCTTTCACAGCAGAACTCAGACGCACTGTGGATTTCTTGTCAGAGATGCCTTCCCAGATGTAGATGGACTACAACATTCTACCTATCCTTTGGAAAGCAAGGCCCAGGCCAAACCCAGGCTAGTCATGAGTAAAATGTGTTCCACCTCACGTTGGGGAGGATACTACATCTATTCTGCATCTAAATCTAATATGCCATATTAATAGCAGACAGATCAAATACACTTTACTTTTCCTTTCAAAACTTTAAACAAGCAAACAAAAAATGTAATCTTTTATTGCACTTTTCAGTGATGTCCAGAAATAAATATTTTTGCCAATATGATAAAAAAACCTCAACATTTCCATTAAACAAAAATGGAAATTACATGAGGAAAAATGTTTTTTCATGTGAAAAGCATTGCTTACTCCGTCTAAAACACAATATACCATTTAAAGCAAGAACAGGACAGGATAGTGACTAGCTTGTTATTCTGGTTTGGGAATCAGAGTGAATCTGAGTCGGCAGCTATGATGTTCATTAGTGTTTCTAGAAGGCCTATCTGAACACTCACCGTTTCTGGTGAGGATGATCGACAGGTATTCCTTGTAGAAGGAGCTGACATAAAGCAGCAAGCTTGGTGTTCGTGTTGTTCGGAAGGCAAATGTAATTGCTTCCCTGTTCAGTGTCATGTCAGCATAAAAGGAAGAAGCATGAGAACTGGAATTTTTAGCTAAGGTGTAGTATTCTTGAAAATTATATGTTACAGAAGTGCCAGTCCCAAAATAAGCAGAGATCTCTGAAACAAAAAGTAATTCAGTTTTTAAATAACATGTATAAAAAGACCAAAGCTCTTTTTTTTTTTCTTTCTGCCATATAACAAAATAAAATATGTTCTTAATTATTGTGATAAAGCTGAAAAATAAATACAAAGGGAATTAGTATTTAAAATGACAGAGAAAAACAAGACACAACTTGGGCTAGAACAAAAGCTCAGTTCTACATATGTCTCAAATATTGTTGCATGAAGAATTACTTTTTTCCAACTATTTTTAAACTTATTTTCTGTTTTGTTTTGATTTTTTTGTTTGTTTGTTTGTCTGTTTGTTTGGTTTTTTTGTTTGTTTGTTTGTTTTTTTGTTTGTTTGTTTTTTGTTTTTTGTTTTGTTTTGTTTTGTTTTGTTTTGTTTCCTGTTTATCTACATCCTCAAGTCCAGTATGTCTTTTCTTGTAGGTATACTGCTTCTATGGAGAAATGAGTGCAGAAGTTTGAGTCCTAACATATTGACTGAACTTTACCATACCTGAAAAGAGACTGGTCAGGTGTGAGAATGGAGGAAATAAACTGGATTATGATCTTCTTGTGGATGAATCACTCAGAGAGTGTTTCTGTATCTCTGTGATATCTCACACACTTTTTCTGTTAAAAATAACTGTATCAGACAGTTTTAGCACACAACTTCTACACTTCAGAAAAATTTTGAGAAATTTCTGTAACCTGGCTCAGTATCTTTGACAGGAGGTGATTAAAAGTTATTACTGTAGTCCTTCCCAAACTTTCAACAACAGGAGCCACTCTGCCCCTGCAGAATAATAGAGCATGACTATTATTTTCTTCTCCTGTTTGCTAGAGAGGAGGAAAGTATCATTCCTCACCCTGTGGCATTAGCTCCAAAGTGACAGATATCGAAGGATTTCACACAAGTCATTTATTCTTGTGGTGTCTGTGGTGCCTGAATGGATGTTGTGCTCACTAGTTTAGAGGAACACAGAGTTAATGCAGTTAAGCCATAGAGTACTTTCTGGAATGCTTTTAATACACAGAGGAAGCAAGTGATTTTTAGCAGATTAGTATTATATGCAAATACCAAAATTTCTAGATAAATTTCTGTCCCTAAAATTTGAACCTGATGACTTGTGGTAATCTACAAGTATTACATCATCACCAAAGAACTCTAAAACTGCCGAAAAAAGGTGGGCTCAGCCCTGTTTCAGATGTTCTCACATTCATCATACGGTAAATAGAAGTCTAAGGTCCTTCTTCTTCTTGGTTTGTTTTCCAAATTTAGTCTTAGTTTTGAGATTTAGACTTGAAAGACAGAATACCAAAATTTTATTCATAAAGATATATTTGCTAGCTAGTATAATAATAATAATAATAAAAAAAAAATTCAAATGAGTTGCATATCTTAATATTAAATAAAGATGTTAATCCTCCTAGGTGATGTGATTCCTGATTTAGAGGGTGTTGAACTGTGTATCTCTGAAAGACAAGTGTTTAGCAAAACTTACACTTATTGAACATATTCATCTGAATTTTTCTGTACATTAAAACATAAATATTTTTCAAGCATTTATACATCTCTATAAAGGGCTGTAAAGATCTTGTTCTGGACTGTATGGTCCTATTTTCAATAATTCATGAAGCTAGAAGACATGCTTGCCTTTCTTACAGAATGGCCCAGCATAGGCAGAGAAAGTGCAGTCACAGGAGAATCCACTGTATTTCTCTCTGCATTTTCCACCATTGTGACACAGGTTACCATAACTGCTACAATGTCCAGGACAGCCTGGTTCAACTCCTGGTGTTATCTTTGCTCTCTCTTCTAGGTCAAGTGCCATTCCATTCAACTGTAATGAACGAATGCATCCCAAAAATCCTTTCTGTCTGGATGCTGTCCCACCTGAAATAAATTCATATGAGCTTTTAAAAATGTAAAAGAATTGATGCATAAAAAAACTTCTTTATGTTTTACAGCCCCCTCTATTCTGAATTTGCAAGATACAAACCTCTGCATGTGCAAATATTTATAAATAGCTTTAAAGCACGTCTGATTTCTTTTTTAGGAAGTAATTACAGCAAACCCTTGAAGCTTTTAATGGGAAACAAGGAAATTGCACTTCTGTTAATTCACAGAGGAATAACATGCAGAAATGAGGTGGTTCTCTTCCTTTAGTCTGTAAAAAGGAAAGGGAAAGGAAGGGAAGGGAAGGGAAGGGAAGGGAAGGGAAGGGAAGGGAAGGGAAGGGAAAACCTCTGGGAAAAAAAATAAAATAAAAACTAAGGGGGAAAAAAAAAGTAGGGGAAAAAAAGAAAGGAAAAAAAGAGGAAAAATAAAAATGGGGATGAGACAGTGATGGGTGGCACAGTTTTACTCTTTCAGTATCCTACTGACTGATCAACTGATCTGTGTGTCTGTCCATCTGTCAGTCTCATGGTGTAGATAATGACACCTCACACTGGTGGCTGGCCTCACACTTTGTCCCATACTGGAGGCTGTGTCTATTCTTGAGTAATAGGAGGGTTTATCCCCTCACTACAGAGGAATACCAGCCAGGATATTCCTTTACTACCAAGCACATGTGATAAAGGTAGAAGGCAACCCTAACGCTAACAGTAATTGTTGTATCATTTGTTCTCACTTGTTTATTTTTAGCACAATTCCTAACAGCTAACATTTTATTAATCCTGGTTGCTTAGCAAAGTGTGCTTTCTACATAACATGTCTCTTGTTTTGATGTTGAACTCTCTTTAACTTTGCTAAAATGAACACTTTTATAACAGCTTTAGATTTTAGTTAGGTTTTCTTCTGTTGCTTTTATGGGAAAACCAGAATATATACATCTAAAAGAAATAAAGAAAGAGTAGTTTAGCCTGAAGATATCATAGTTCTATTAAGTTAGTAAAGGATTGATGCATGACTATGGCAAGTACTGGGTATACAAGATGATATCTAAGTAAAGAGTGCCTCTGCTAATATCATTCTTAGGACACCTCATTTTTCTCTAGACATTTTTCAACTGTCTTGAACAAACAAGGTTATGTCTGTACCAGCAGACAATCACTGGAAGTAGTCTTACAGTAAGTCTTATTGCTTCCTCCACTGAAGAAAACTATATTCAATTGAAGACATGAAAATATCTCATGAATAGTTTGGAGTTATAGAAAGTTGCATTATCCAAAAGACTAACAACAGTATTTCAATTGCAGAAACAGAATATGCAAAAGTACTTGCTACCATCATAGCAATCCTTCACAAATTATATTCAGGAAAAGCATGACACAAATGATTCATATAAATCACTATCATTCATAATGTCATGCTTCAAGATCACTTCTTTGACTGAATAAAATTAAACAAATGCCATTTTTATCATTTCTGCTCCAAAATATTTAAAAACATTTTACAAACTCATAAGAGATGTCAAGGTACACAGCACTATACTGAATGTTATTTCAATTTACTCCCAGCATCTTCAAAAAATTTCAGAAAGGAAAAAAGAAAAAAAATTACTCCAGAAGCAAAATGACAGAATCACTCTTCTACTACAATTATTCACTTGAACGTTATCTGAAGAAAACAAGCTAACAGCTTGCTTGTAGATAAGTCAAAACAATTTTTAAATTGTCAGCTGCATACAGCAGATGGATGTATACAGATTTACTTGATTTTGTCAAATTACTTGACAACGTATCACTCTATTCAGTGGGCAATTACTGAAGAAGAAATTGTCAGAAAATGCAACTGTCAATAAAGGTCAGTACAGTATTGGATCACTTGGGAGAAGGGTTAATAGAACTAGGGATTAATTAATTGTCAAAATCATTAGAAAACTGTTTAGACTTGATATTACCATAAATGCCACTAGAATTAGGCCATTTTTCAGTCTTACTTCACAGGTCAGACCTTGAAAATTCAAACTGATCTAATTTCCACCATTCACATAGTAACAGTTACATGTTAAGTCCAGTCAGAGAACAGCAATATCATTCATTGTAGTACAGCAAATGAGAATCTCCCAGTCCTTCCATTAATAGCTCTAGTACTCTATTGTGAATATAAACTAATTTCAAGACTACTCCTAACTCCACTACTGATAATATCTTGTATATTTTCTTTGTTATATAATCCTTTCCCATATTTATAATCAAAATATAAAATTCTTTATTTGGTCTAACCTCCACCTTCTACCCTTGTTAAATTTTGAGGCATAGGTCAGAATTCTGAACCTAGCACACTAGAGTTTTCTCTCCATTAAAAGTTTTCCTAAGGATTCACAGTTTCTGTAGCTACAGTTTTGGAACATTATTTGCCTTGACTACTCCTCCCCATCACACAACAAATAAAACATATATTCATTTAGTATGATGTGTCTCACAGTCAGTCTAAATAAAGATCTATTTAAAAGTTGGGCAGACTTTACATACTTTTATACTGTATAACATACATATGCACCAGAAACTTAAAAATTCACAACATGGAAATATTACAGTAAGAACACTACCATATACATAACACATAGCTTTATATAGCTCTATGTGATAGTTATATAAGCTTTTTTTTTTTTTTTTTGACTCTGTTTCTGCATTTCCAGTGTTTTATCTAAATAAACTCATGTCATAGTTGTTTTTACATTCTAGACACAAGCAACCATAGATCTGGATTTGTGAAATCAAAGAACAGTCCCTTTCTCTTACTTCTAACATTAAGTAAACAGTTTGATTATTTGATTATATGTGTTAGCAAAGGGTGAAAAACTAGATAACAGGTTCCTAGAACTATAGAATGGTTTGGGTTGGAAGAGACCTTGAAAAACAACCCTGTGCCACAGGCAGGGACATCTTTCATTAGATCAGGTTGCTCAAAGCCTTGTCCAACCTGACTTTAGACATTCACAACTTTACTGGGCAACCTGAGAACCTGTGAATGAAGAAAGACAACAAAATTTCCTTGAAAAAACAGAAGTAACATATCTTCCTTCAGCAGATGACATCCTTTCAAAAAATGGTGCTAATGGAGATGCTTCAATTGCTCTTCAAACAAACTTAGAACAACTGAAAACTTTGGTTAAAATCCAGTCCAGCAGTAACTATAGACTAAGGCACTGAATCTATAATCTCTATTGAGTTACATTTCCATGTTTTTTCCACAAAGGATCCCATCTCATCATGCAAACTGTTTACAAAAGACACAGTTGCCATCTTTTTTCTTCCCCCCTGCCCCTTCATGTTTTCATGATGATAACTAAGAAGGATTCTGTTAAATGAATGCCTACCTACAAAAAGCTGGCTGTTGAGTTGCAAGCGAATATGCCCATCAGGTGGAGCACCACGAGACTTTTGAGGAAGCTGATCTACTTGTAAGGATGCCTCTTTGATGTTTCGCTCAGCCTTCACATAATGCCACTGGTTGTCATTTAAGGAAGTAAGTGATTGAACTGTAATTTCGTTGGGTCCGTTTCCAACATCAAATGAAAAAATTACTTCAGATGGAGCTAGAAAGAGGACATCAATAAAAGACATTTGAATTATTTAGTAGTTAATTGGGTGACAAAATCATTAAGTGATAGAACAAGTTACTTTAAGGTCTAGCCTACTATTTCATAAGACTCTTTTAGGGGTAAAGTTTACTTCAGGAGGCGTATCCTTAAAATTAATTCTTCACACTCATTGGCAGTGAGAGCAATGATTTGCCAACAACATGGAAATCAAACTGTTTGTGGACCCCTAGAGAGCATAGTAGTCAAGAAACTGTGAAATATGCTACCTTAATTATTTTTCACTTTGGATAAAAAAACATCTCTTGCTTACATGCTATTTGATTGCTGTTGTTAATTACTGTTGTGGTTTGAGGCTTGGAATGGGGGCGTGACCTTCCAGCAACTGGGAGGACCCCGGGTGGGGGTGAACCATTTTATTCCCTCCCCTTCCCACACACACTCTGATAAGAGGCAGGGAGTGGCTGCTAATTTCACTCCTGCCTTGGAGCTCGGAGAGGAAAGTTGTCCTTTCACTCCATGGGACCTTGAAACCATTTCTGAGGGGTTTGTATATTTTATTTTTTGTATTTTTCCCCTAATCTTTGTATATATTATTTTCCTTACCTCCCTTTTTTGTTTTCTGTTCCTTGTTAAACAATATACTTCATTTTTTTCCAAAGTGTCTCTCTCTCTCTCTCTCTCTCTCTCTCTCAGAGGGGGGGAGAGGTAAGTACATAGTTCTGTTCTGTGTGGGTCCTGCCCTGAACCCCTTTTTACACGGAACCAGGACAATTACATTTAAATTATCACCACTGTAATCTAACATCAACATCTTCTATTGTCTGTTTCCTTTTGTTATTTATTCATGTAACTTCTACAAATACCAGAGGGCAAATTTTGATGTAGTTTATAGGACTATGTATACAGTGAACTAAACTGAGTCATTCTTTAAACAAATTTCACATTACATGGTTTTATAGTTAGCTTATAAAATCATAACATATCAAAACATACATTAAGTAATAAGATGAATAGTCTCTAAGAAACTGCAGACCTGAAAATTATGAATACTTTATGATTAAGGGACTGGAGGTCTGAGAAGATTCCATGAACCCAAATGAAACCTTCCCATTTATATTATTGGACTCTGACCAAAAAGTAAAAGAATTAGAAGTAGTCGACGAAAAAAAAATTATTTTCAAATAACATTTTCAAAGATTAATTTACTGAATTGAAAAAAAAAAAAAAGTTAAATATTTCTATTTTCACTTTTAAAATATATTTCAGATTTCTTATAACATTTAGATCCACTTTGGCCAACCTTTAGACTGAGTAATGCCACATGCTTGTAATCCCTTAAACCCTGGATCTGGTTGTTATAAAGTATTTTTCTATAACAATTGAATCTGAGAGAGAAAAGTGAAATGACAAATAAGAAAAACGTTTGATTTTCCAAAAAAAGTAAAAACATAATTTGCATTCAGTTTTTAAACAGAACACTTTTTGTAATAAATCATGTCTTCTGCTTTAAAATCAACTGTATATGATAAGAATTAATTAATTTGAAACAATTTATGTCTAAAATCAGTTTCTCAGTAATATAAATTTTAGGATAAATGTTTCTTTTGGACAAAGTTGAGAGCTCAGTCTCCCTTACAGAGAGGTAAAAAACCCAAAACAACCACACCATAGGAGAACAAAGGCAACAGAAACTCCATGTGATTGGGTAAAGTGAATTTCTGCTGAATGTTACCTTCTGTAGGGAGGTCTTTGTAATCCTCTCAATACTGCTGGAGTGAAGCCTGAAAATGCAAATTCTGCTTTGAACTCACTGAATGTGCCTATTAAATAGCAGATCAGAATGACAGATCTGATGAATAGAATTACTATTTAGATTTTAAAGGCAAGAAAGCACATAATAGAGATTTTGAAACAACCACTGAAATAATTATGTTAGCACCATTGGGAAAAAAAAAAAAACAACAAAAAAAAAAAAAAAAAAAAAAAAAAAAAAAAAAATCTTAAAAACAGGGAC